TTGAAAATTTTGACAAAATACAAATTTAAGTTGTAATAATAAACGAACGAGTTGCTTATAGAAACACAAGCAAAGTGTGGGGTTGAGTTTCGGCAAAAAACAAATAAATGAATAAAAATTGTAATTTAAATTAAAAATATATGAAAATACAGCAATTGAACAACTATTTACGAAAGTATTGCAACTAGTTGTGCACGAAATTGGTTGCATATCAAAATAGGAGAAACTCAATGTCTGTTGCGCTTGCTTTGATGTGTGTCTTCTCATGTATTGCGCCTAATTATATGTGTAGCTCACATGATGATGTCATTTGGCACAATCTACACTTCCATGTAGAAAGAAAGAACAAAAGATGTGTCATAAACCCTAAAATTTTGGAATGATATAACTTTGGGAAATGTAAGAGTTATGTAACAGGAAGGAAAATTAATTTCCTGCAGATGCAGCTTTCGGTGGGACCCACGAATTTAGAAAAAAAAGAGAGAATGAGGCGCTCCTATCAATGAGACTTGTGAGTGCAGAATTTTTTTTTCATTCCTATTACATAAGTCTTACATTTCCCTATAACTTTTGGCTTGATTGTCCGCTTGATTGTCCGAATTAAATGATTTTTTTTATTTCATGTAACTTTTTGTGGTCTGCGTGACGACAAATCCCTGATCAATTTTTTTTTAAATGCTTCTTTGTGCCTATTTGGCACATTTTATTTCTACAAATGATGTTATTTAATTCTTATTCCTATTCTCACTATCCAACAATAACAAATAATTGTGACTCATTATTTCAATGGATAGTAGATTATGTAAAACTTATTGAACTTGTTAGAAAGTAAGTATCTGTATCCCAAAATCAATGAAGATGGTGGAAGACACGTATCAAAATAGGAACAAGACAAGCATAAAAACTAGTGCATTAGGGAATCAGTTGTGTCGATTTTTGTGTGCGACTAGTTGCACATATAAATAGACGCAACTAGTTCCCTAATGCATCTATTTTAATGTACAACCAGTTGCGCCCAATCTCATGCGCAATTAATTGCAATACTTTTGTAAATACTTTGTAAGTCGTTGTGTTTTTGTATTAATTTTTTATTTAAGTTATAGTTTTTTTTTCTGGCCCATTCTTATTTCTTTCGCACGAACACATAAGACAATAATATGCGATGGCCTACTTAACAGGTAACTTTGTATTGACGCAAGGAAAGCATTTTCAAATCTCTATCAATGTAAGTTATACTCTCAATCTTGGTGATTGATACTATTTATATTTAACAATTCTAATTTATTAGATATATGAGTCGTTAATATAAGCAGATTAATGGTTAAATTTGGGTATAAGACTCCTCTGCCCCATAAAATTTATACAAAAACTCTTATTATATTTACCCAACAAATAGCGTGACTGATTGTTAAAAACAATTGTCTTGAAATTGATTATGAGTTCCATAAATTTTTAAAAACAATTATGGAAGTATATATATATTATTCCATAACAAGATAAAAACCTCAAGAGCTATATAATCACAAGAAATTATCATCAAAATGGTCAAATGATAGCTTATGAAAAAATTATATTCAATATTGTATTTAATTTGATACTAAGAGCTTGTTTGACATTGTTTTTTAAGCTAAAAGCTAAAAAAAAGGTTTTAAAAATAAAGCTAAAAACTGTTTAATGGCTATATAAAAAGTGTAAGTTAGAAATTTCATTTAAAAAAAATTGTTCATTAAAAAAACATATATACCTTAAAAAAACTCATCATGGGAGTTTTTAACTTTTGAATTTTTTTCATTATAAAAAAAAAACTCCTATCTCGGTAGGTGTACACCAAGGTTCGACTCTAAGTCCTTATCTCTTTGCCTTAGTTATGGATGAACTAACAAAAAATATTCAAGAGGAAGTGTCATGGTGTATGTTTTTTGCAGATGATATTGTGCTTATTGATGAGAACAAAGACGGTGTTAATAGAAAATTTGAATTGTAGAGAAACACATTGGAATCTAAAGGATTCACGTTAAGTCAGAGCAAGACTGAGTATTTGACATGTGAGTTTTCTCTGGTAAGAGATGTAGACCAAGATCTTGTGCATCTAAGTAGTCAAGAGGTACCCAAGAAAGATGCTTTTAGATACCTGAGATCCATTTTGCAAAAAGGTGGAGAGATTGATGAGGATGTAAATTATAGAATCAGAGCAAGTGGATGAAATGGCGTAGTGAATCTGGATTTTTGTGTGACCGAAAAACCCCCTTAAGTTAAAAGGAAAATTTTATAAAACAGCAGTAAGACCTGCAATGCTATATGGAGCTGAATGTTGGTCAGCACATAGACAACATGAGCATAAAATGGGAGTAGCAGAGATGAGGATGTTAAGGTGGATGCGTGGTTATACGAGGATGGATAAGATAAGAAATGAAGATATTCGACGAAAGGTAGGAGTACTAGCTGAAAATATGAGAGAACATAGATTGAGGTGGTTTGGGCACGTAATGAGAAGGCCATTGGATGCTCTCGTAAGAACAAAAGTTTGTTACCAAGAGCTCAAAAAAAAAAAAGTAGAGGTAGATCGGAACTTACTTGGGGGAAGTTAGTAAAACAAGATTTAATGGAGTGAGATATAGATTGACGAACGATATGCCTTAGAACGGAATGGAGAAAAGCTATAAGCATGGTGGAGGGATAGACCCGTTGTTATTCCTATGTTCCAGATGGTCCATTTTTAGTCCTTTTCCTCTTCATTTCCCCCTCTTCTTCTTTTCCCTTTCTTTTTTACTTATATATATATTATTACTATTTTATTTATTTATTTATTTCTATTTTTAATTTTTATTTTATCTTTTCTTATCTTTTTTTCAACTTTTACGTATCTTTTATTTTGGGTTCATCTACCACCGATCCTAATTAATTTAGGATAAATATATTGTTGATGTCGATGTATAAAAAAAATCTTTTTATTATAATAATTTTTGTAAAATTCTATTTGGCTTAATTTTCGTTTATAAGGAAAAAAGAAGCTAAAAAAAAGACCTTCCTAACAGGCACTAAACATGTGTCAATTTACCCAACACAGCCTTCCTGGTAGAAAAAGATGTTAGAAAAAATCAAAGAAATATTTCTCGATCAATCCTTTTGTCCCCATTTCTTTTCTTCGAGAATCAAAAAGATCATTTTCAATCAAGTTTGAATTTGTTCGTTTGGAATCACACTCTTCTACTACATTTTTATTGGATTCTTATCATTTTTCTTTTTTGATTTCTTTTTAAACATTTTTTTTAGGGGAAGAATATTGTAACAACCAATTAGTGTTACTACCAATGTTACTACCAATCAATTTCACCGTTAGATCGGTTATGTTGATCCAACGGTTATATTTATTTCCATCTTTGTATGGTTATGATTTCTCATATTTAATACATTATATTTATTTTCACCTATGTATTGTTATGATTTCCCATATTCACATTAAATATGGAGAATCATAACCCTACAATATTAAATATGAGAAATCATAACTATACAAAGATGGAAATAAATATAACCGTTGAATCAACATAATCGATCTGACAGTAAAATTGATTGATAGTTACATTAGTAGTAACACTAATTGGTTGTTACAATATTTTTTTTTATTACATTTGAGTCATTGCAAGGGAAAAGTTTTTTCTGTGTAAGAAGTTGTTTTGAAAAACATTCAAGCATAACCGAACACAAACAAGGGGGAAAATGAATAATACAGAAGGATTTCTTCCACAAATCCATGTACGTACATCAAATACAAAGTATAAAAAATAATTGATTTATATACTCGAAAAACACTCTTCATTAATGATGGAACTTGTAGAAGCACGTTATCCCTGCCATAAAATAAATCATATGAAAATGGATATTCTCATCCGTGAATGGATGGATTAATTACCTGTTTTTTTTTTTTCACCCTGTATTTTAATATATATTTTCTATTTTATTCTTATCAGGTTGATTTGTCCATCAACAATTAATAAACTTTCACATAATCTGATAATGTGAAATCTATCGAGGATCCACTCTCCATTATGATTTTCTATAATTAATCATTTTATCAATAAAATAAACTGACAGTTATAGGACTACGAATGATGGCGCACACAAAATCTTGTTCCTCAAAAAAGAAAAAACCGAAAACTGGGTCGGTGACAGCGCGGGTTGTATCGCAGTCATGGTAAAAGGTCACGAGTCAGCTATTGCGACTCGAGCCAGATGTCCCTTGACATAAACCAAACAACATTACAATAATAATGACATGTTAATAAATAGGAAATGGATCTTCTAACGTTTACATTTCTAAAATTTTTGTATTTAATTAAATAAGTAGAATCTAGTTATCACTAATGAAAAAAAGATAATTATGTAAAATTTTAACATAAGAGAAAGCTTATTTTCTAATAGATAGAAATATTTATTGTCAAAAAAATTCACTACCTATTTAATTATCATTGAATCAATATATTTTTTTTCTTAATAAAATTTTCAATGTTTTTTCTCTCTGATTTAATAATAATTAGATAAGTAATGAATTAGTAAAAAATGATTTTAGCGAGTAAGAATATCTAGCTCTCTCTGACTAATAATCGCAACCTTTTTACATCATTTATTTATTACTGCGGGTCAACATCATTTATTTATTACTGCGGGTCAACGCGGTTCTTTAGTCCAAGTATAAGACTCATTCTGATTCATGAAAGAGTTTAACAAACCACGAAAGGAGAGAGTGAGAGTGTGAGTCATGAGACACCCACGTGACATTTGGGGTCCCGGGCCCCACTTCCGGTGCCATGTACAGTGTACCAATAAAGAGCCGCCAGGGGCTTTGTTGTCATTTCAATTTACTAACCATTACTTGACCACAACATCAATAATTTTGTATTCACCCATGAGATATTCTTTAGGCTTGGCTCCGTTGTGACCTTGTCTATATAAACAAACGCGTAATCTTCAATTTTCAAACTAAACTTGCTTCAATCATCTTCATTTCCCCCAATATCATCACCAAACCCAAACCCAAACCCAAACCAAAGTAGTTGAAGCACTACTTAGTATATATATTTGTTCTTTGTAATAACATAAGGATCGAGGAGATGAAGAAATCAAATACTAATAGCGATTCATCAAAACTTGATCGCAAAACAATAGAAAGGAACCGCAGAATTCACATGAAAGCTCTCTGCTTCAAGCTTGTTTCTACTATTCCTTCCAATTACATCAAAGCCACCAAGGTACGTTTTAGATTGGTAGTCACATAACGTAATAACTCTCCCTGCCTGAATAATATTGGGCTAGCTTAGCTAGCTTCTTAATTATCATTGTTCAACAATGAAATGAAAATTAAATGAACGAATACTTCAGGACATGCTGACACAGCAGGACCAGCTGGATATAGCAGCCACTTACATAAAGCATCTGAGAGAAAGAATAGACAAATTGAAGGAGAAGAAGGAGGAAGCCATGCGCATATTGATGAGATCAAACCAACGCAATAACAGTATTTCCAATATTGGTTCAAAATTGCCCCTACTTGAGATAAGAGACTTGGGTTCGGGCATTGAAGTGATGTTGATAAGTGGGTTGTACAAGAACTTCATGCTCTACGAAGTAATTACTGTCCTTGAGGAAGAAGGCGCTGAAGTTGTCACTGCAAACCACTCTACTGTTGGCGATAAGATTTTTTACACTTTTCATGCTCAGGTACAATTATATATCTATATCTATAGACTATAGTATAAAGACCAACAAATTTTATATATATATATATATATATATATTATATAGGTCGCTAGTAGCTTTCAACTCTTTTTCCGCTCTAGCTATTGTTAAACGAGGGTGAAGATAATCTCAAAGGGACATTTGGTACACGGTATTTTGTAGGATTCAAATTGAATTTTTTAAATTTTTAATTTTCAGATATTATTATAAACTGAATATTTTTATTATATTTCTGAAAATTGAGATTTTCGGATAAAAAATTATTTTTTCTCCACCAAACGCTCCTTAACCGCTGACACAACTGGAAAGCGAGCTTTGCTAAGAAATAAGTCTCGGGACTAAGGGGACGTTTGGTGGAGGAGAATTTTTTTTTTTTTGTCCGGAAATCTCAATTTTCAAAAATATAATTTTTACATTAAGTTTACGATAATATCAGAAAATTTAAAATTTAAAAAAAAATCAGTTTCCCTAGAATATAACAGCCCTAAAAGGTTTTTGGTTCGATTTCTAGGAGAAACAATTTGGGCCAGTAATAAAAAACCTTCACACCTTATGTTAAGAAGGGAATTGATTATTCTCGTCAAAATGAACGTCCAAATGAACGAGGACGGCAATATATATATATATATATATATATATATATATATATATATATATATGTGGAGAAAATATTTCTAGAATCATTTTAAATAAGATTGTTTATAGTTACTCTTTTTAATTAAGTATGACCGGTCACATTTTCTCTCTCCGCCACATCAGCCGATAGTGTCTGAGAAAAAAGAAAAAAAGAACAGTTTTATTGTTATAACTAAGTATGACCGGTCATACTTAATTAAAAAATAATAGCGATAGATAACATTATCTAAAGTGGTTTAGAAATTTTTTTTTTATATATATATATATGTACGGTGAAGATGGATCGCTGAATTTTTCTTCATTTTCATGACTTGTTATCTTCTTTCATCAGGTTAAAATATCAAGAGTTGGTGTAGAGCCAACAAGGGTATATCAGAGGCTTCAGGAGTTGATTGCACCACCAGAAAGTTGTACTATTGGCATGGACAACACATTATTAGAAAATGACAACATGCATTGGGCGTTGTTATTCGGACCATAGCACCTTAGTTAATGAATCAAGCTGTGAAGGATTAGCTACGCTGTACAAGTTTTACGGAAAATAACTTCAAATAAATAAAAGAAAAAATGTGTATCATTTTAAAAGATATAAAATTATATCATTTTAAGTGAGAGAAAAAGATAGATAAAAGAGAAGAAAGAGTGGACAAAAAACAATAAAAGTGTTAGTCTCACCTTTTTGTTGTGTTATTTAAAATGATAAATATTTTTCTCATAAATAAATAGGTTTCGTACGTTAAGAAAATGTTTCTTTTCTTCGGGTGTTATCTGTTTAATTGTTAATGGACAAGCCCTGAAACAGGCAGGAATGAGAATGTCTAAAATTTCATGCAAACTTAGATGTTTAAATTTATTGTACTTCTCAATAAAAATGTAGGTTGGAGCTTGATGGGTGTTTATGATCAGAATTATAAAATAAAGCTTTCTGTATCCCTCAAAACAGTCAATTTGCTGTAGCTTGTAGTATCATACACAGCGTAGTGATGGTGGTGATTTTCATCATTTGATTTTAGCCTTGTATCTTAATCATTCGAAAATCTAAATCTAAGCGGATGAAAATAGTTTGTGACCACAAATTGCAACTGCGAATAATGACCATTTATTTTCGCAAGATCACATATAAAGATAAACTTGGTAATGCAACCTGTTGATATTATTCAGTGTGCAGCCTTTTAATAGGCAATTGGCAAAACAGATACACAATTTGTTACAGAGCTTTGTTACAGAGAAATGATAAGAGATAAAAACAACTATCTAAATTATCTAACTATCTAGTAACAAACTAAAGAATATGCAATATAACAATCTAACCGTATAATATATCTAACAGTATAATATCCTAACAAATATTGATATCCTAACAATCTCCAACACTCCCCCTCAAGTTGGAGCATGCAAGGATGAAATGCCCAACTTGGGAAGGAATTCGAAGAACGGACGTTGTCCCAATGCTTTAGTAAACAGGTCCGCAAGTTGGGATCTTGAACGGACGTGAGCAGTGACAATGTTGTTGGCAAGAATCTGTTCTCGCACGAAATGGCAATCTATTTCGATGTGTTTTGTCCGTTCATGGAAGACGGGGTTGGCAGCTATGTGTAAGGCGGCTTGGTTGTCACAAAATAACTCCATAGGACCTGAATGTGGAACACCAAGGGAAGTAAGAAACGATTTGAGCCAAACTAACTCCGAGGTAGCTGCTGCCATGGATCTGTATTCTGCTTCTGCCGAAGAACGGGAGACCGTGACTTGTTTCTTAGTCTTCCAAGAGATTGGGGATGATCCTAGCATAATAAAAAAACCAGTAATGGATATGCGAGTGAGAGGACAAGATGCCCAATCCGAATCGCAGTAAGCATGAAACTGTAAGTCACAATCGGACTTAAGAAGTAAGCCTTGGCCAGGATTCCTTTTGAGATACCGAAGGACACGAACGACAGCTTCAAAGTGAGCTTGCTTGGGTTGTTGCATGAACTGTGATAAAATATGAATGGCATAACTCAAATCAGGTCGAGTGATGGTGAGGTAAATGAGTTTACCTATAAGTCTTCGATATCGTTCAGGATTGTCAAACATAGGGCCATCATCCAAGGCGAGGCGAAGATTCTGTTCGATGGGAGAGTTCGCAGGCTTACTCCCACTCAAGCCTGATTCGGACAGAAGGTCCAAAGTGTACTTACGTTGACAAAGGAAAATGCCTTGCTTGCTACGAGCAATTTCAATACCCAGGAAATACTTCAGCGGACCTAAGTCTTTGATTTTGAAACATTTGTTCAGATACTCCTTGACTGCTTTACATGCATTAGGATCATTCCCTGCCACTATTATATGATCAACGTAGACTAGGACTGCTAGGAAAGCGTCCCCTCTTTGGAGAGTAAAGAGCGTATAATCTGCCCTTGATTGTATAAAACCATAATGTGTCAAGGAAGAGCTGAGTTTGGAGAACCAGTTTCGTGGTGATTGCCTCAGTCCATACAAGGATTTGGTAAGACGACATACTTTGTGATTGGATCCGTCACTGAATCCGGGAGGAAACCGCATGTAAACTTCTTCACTTAGGTCACCGTTCAAGAATGCATTGTGGACGTCGAGTTGATGTAATTCCCAATTTTTGGCAGCTGCTACAGCAAGTAGTGTACGAACACTCACCATTTTGGCCACTGGTGCATATGTCTCACTGTAATCCTCCCCAGCAATTTGATGATTTCCAGCTATCACCAACCTTGCCTTATAGCGTTCCACCGTACCGTCAGAACGATATTTGATTTTAAACACCCATTTGCTTGGGAGAGCATGTTTGTGTGGAGGCAAATCTGTAATGTACCAAGTTTTATTATCTTCCAAAGCTTGGATTTCGTTCCTCATGGCAGCCACCCACCGTGTATCTCGCATGACTTCTCGAAAATTTCGAGGCTCTTGATTGGCGTCAATTGCTGCAACAAAGGCTCGATGTTCTTTAGAAAAATTAGTTAAACTGACATAATTGCATATAGGATACTTAATACCTGAGGTGACATTGGTTCGGATGAGAGGAAGCGAGTGTGTTTCAGCCATGTGACAAGCATAATCTTGCAAATAAGTGGGAAGTTTTCGTGCTCTCTGGTGTCTTGTAGGCACAACATCTTGAGAGGAATATGGCATTGAAATAGCATCGGAGCTCCCCTATCGTCCGTAGTGGGTTGCACTATTGTGGCAGTTTCACATGACTGCTCTTCAGCGTTTTCTGCAACTACAACGTTTTCAGTTTCATCAGGGAATGATGTAGGCAGCTGAGGGACAATAGGTTCATTCTTCTTTACTCGGAATGGAAATTCTTGTTCTCGAAACTTGACATCTCTTGACACAAAACGCTGTCCATTCTCGATATCTAACAATCTCCAACCCTTTTGTCCTGTTGGATATCCAATTAAAATACATCGTCGAGAGCGTGGAGCGAATTTGTCATTGGGTTTGGGTCTGAAGTTAGCGAAGCACAAACATCCAAATGTTCTCAAGTAAGTGTATTCTGGTGGGGTTCCATGCAATATCTCATGTGGTGACTTTCCTCCAAGAACCTTTGTAGGTGTTCTATTGATCAGATGTACAGCTGTTAGAATGCTTTCTTCCCAGAACTCAGCTGTCATACCTGCATGAAATAATAAAGCACGCGAGACATTAAGAATGTGTCCATGTCTCCTCTCTACGCGTCCATTTTGTTCGGGAGTATGTACACACGTTGTTTGTTGTAAAATGCCTTTTTCACTCAAGAGTTGCATCATTTTATTAGACTTAAATTCAGTTCCATTATCAGAACGAATTATTTTGACATTTTTCCCAAACTGATTCTGCACCATAGCCATAAATTTACACATTCGATCATAAGTTTCACTTTTCTCGGCCATCATATATACCCACACACTTCTACTAAAATCATCGACAATAGTTAAGAAATAGTAAGCACCCGAAGAGGAAGGAGACTTGTAGGGTCCCCAAGTATCACAATGAACCAAATAAAAACTTTCTTTACTGCGTGAAGTACTCAAAGGAAACACAGATCGAGTTTGTTTGGCATATTGGCAAACATCACATGCCGCACCAGTAACATTTTTATTCAACGAAATATTAATTCCTGGAATCAAAGACAACATATCATAAGATGCATGACCTAGTCTACTATGCCATAGCTCCATAGATTCTTCTGCTCGAACTGCTGAAGCCGAAGCATGCTTGGGCTGAAACACATACACTCCTTCCTTGAGCTCACCCAAACCAATCTCCCTCTTCAGTATTTGGTCCTGCAAAAGGCAATTTTTATCAGTAAAGGTTACCATCCTGCTATTATTTCGCAATAGCTGTGAAACAGAAATCAGATTGCATCTCAATTGGGGAACATATAACACATTGGATAGTTTGAATTGTGCATTAAACATCATTGTTCCTTCTTTTTCTGCAAGAGTAACAGATCCGTTTGGTAAAGTGACGGACAAAGGATTAATCTTTCTAATTTTAGTCAACAAATTCAAGGATCCCGTCATGTGGCGAGAGGCTCCGCTATCAATAAGCCATTGAAAGTGTGTAATCTTACCAGACAATTTATCATTGGATGGCTGTTCAACCAAGGCAATGAGCTTGTTCATAATTTCAGGTGTCAACATTGAATTCGCTGTGACCTGCGGAGGCACATTATTCTGGTAAGAAGCTGCTGCTGCAGCTTGTTGAAGTGCATCACCTTGATAGGATGCTACGGCTGGTTGAGAGCTTTCCCAAGTCTGCATGGCATGAGCTTGTTGATGTCTTCCTCCTGATCGTCCCCGTCCACCAAATCTGTTTGCTGGAAATCCAATGACGTTCCAACAACGTGAGGGATCATGGTTGGTTTTCCCGCAATGAGGACACGACACTCTCTCGGCTTGTTTGCCAGAGATCGTGTGCTGATCATGACTTTCCATCTTGTCTTTCAATCCAACCTGAGCTACATATCCTACCACATTTTCTCGTTCTTCCTGATGGCGGGCAATGTTACGATGAGTTTCTTCTTGCGTAACAATTGCATACACTTTGTTGACATTTGGCAAACGTGAGGTGTTCAAAATCTGTGAACGTAAATTGCCAAAGACAGCCTCATCAAGTCCCATGAGAAATTGATAAACACGGTCATGTTCCTTCTCTTCTTCGATCTCCTTTGCGTAAGCACACTTGTCTCCACAGTTACACGTCTTGCAGGTTTTGCTCCCTTCAAGTTCGTCCCACACAGCTCTTAACTTGGTATAGTATTCACCCACACTATTTCCAAGTTGTTTTATATTAGCTAAACTGGTCTTGAGTTGATATTGACGTGGAGAATTTTCCACGGCATATCTCTCCTTCAAATCATCCCACAAATCTTTTACTTCATCAAAACATTTGATGAATGGCTGCAATTTCGCATCAATGGTATTATGTATCCAACCATTGATCATCGAATTGCACATTTCCCACGCTCGCCATTCTTCCCCGTCATCTTCCTCTGGTTTCTTTACGGTTCCAGTAACGAAACCTAACTTATTTTTCGCTCTTAGTGCGTTTTTCATGAGCTTTTCCCAATTCTCATAGTTGGCTTCTCCACGCAGCATTACAGTTGTAAGCAAAATTCCCGGATTATCCGAACCTGCCAGATGAAATGG